TTCTTGATTATAACCTTGAGCAACTAATCTAGCTTTGTTTCTAACAACTTGACCAAATTCATCTAATTTGTTTCTAAAAATCCATTTTGTTCCAATAATGGATTTATTTTGAGGTCTAGGTATAAGATCCCAAACATTATTTCTAGTAAATTGATTAAGTTCATCTTGCATAGCTATTATCCATGAATCATCAAGAAGTGCTTCTTTTATATTTTTAGGTTCAATAGTTGAAATAAAAGCATTATGAGCAATCAAATTAAAATGTGATCTAGTAGTTACTTTGTCAGATATATTTCCTATAACTAAATCATGTGGATGATTTTTAACTTCTACAAAATCTTTAGGTAAATCATTTTGTAGATTATCATCTTTTGTAATATCTATCATAGGAGTATCTTGTATGGTATCAATTACATCATCATCATTATTTAGTATAATAGGTATTTTTGAAAAACTTTCATTAAAAGAAACATGTAAAGATTCTTCAATAACTTGTGTTCTTTTGTTATAAATTCTATATGCTTTACTGTGATTAGAATATCCAACAAAAATTCCTTCATCGGATTTTGAATCAAATTTATCTAAGTTATCCTTTGTATTTAAGATAAAACATTTACAACCAAAAACTTTAAAGTAAGATACTTTAGGAATTTTGTTATAAAATAATTCATAAGATGTTTTCTTTAAAATAGGTCTTAATAAAACTCTATTTAATACATAACAAGCTGTTGATACGGCTTTTGCCCAAAAATATTTAGGTAAATTACTATCACATAACATGGTTCTAGCACATTCTTGTAAGGTTCTATTTTTCCTTTCTACAACTCCATTTTGTGGAGCAGCTCGAGGAAAAGAGAATGTGTGTGATATACCATGTTGATCACAATAATTTGCAAATAATTCATTTTCAAATTCACCTCCATGATCACTACGTATAGAGATAATAGAAGTTGATTTTTGATTTTGAATTTTCTTGCAAAATATAGAAAACTCATTAAAAGCATCATTTTTATGTTTAAGAAAAATTACCCAAGTGAATCTAGAAAAATCATCAACAAGAACAAATGCATATCTACTTCCATTTAAAGATGCTACTCTAGATGGACCAAAAAGATCTATATGAATTAATTCTAATGGTCTATTTGTAGATATTACATTTTTAGATTTGAAAGAAGATTTGTGCATTTTTCCTTGTTGACATGCATCACAAAAATTATTTTTAAATGACATCTTAGGCAAACCATTTACTGAATCATTTTTAGAAATCTTAGACATATGTTTAAAGTTAACATGTCCAAAACGTTTATGCCATAAAATAGAATCATTAGATGATGCAATAAGACAATGTTCATTTGAAATATTATTCATAGATAACACATATATGTTATTTTTTCTATAACCTTTAAAAATAATGGTTATTAAATCAATATCATAAATTAAGCATGATTCTTTTTCAAAAACAATTTTATAACCTTTATCACAAAGTTGACTAATACTTAGTAAATTATGTTTAAGACCATTAACTAATAAAACATTATCAATGATAGGTTTGTTTGGATTACCTACGGAACCAATACCGATGACTTTTCCTTTGTTGTTATCTCCAAAAGTAACGGTACCTCCATCCTTGTTTTGAAAAGATGACAACAATTGAATATTTCCAGTCATATGTTTAGAGCAACCACTATCTAAAATCCACCTATCTTTCTTGGGTACCTGAAAAAATAAACATTTACATTTTGGTACCCATACTATGTTGGGTCCTTTAAATTAGCCTTTAGGAAACCAAACCCATGAAGAGTTTGATTTGCCTAAATAGTTAGGTGATAAATAAATATTTTTAATAAAATCAGAAATATAAAAATTCTTATGTAAAGAAGATAATTCTTTTGGAACCCAAATAGAAAAGAATTTTGATTTCTTTTTATACAAATTTTCATATTTATAATCATGCAAATCACAAGAAGGTTTTACAAATATTGTATTCTTTGATTTGTTTTTATTAATTTGAAAACCTAATCCTTTTGTCTTTTGTGATTCTCTTTGAAAAGAAAGAATATTATTAAGATTTTCTTTTCCTTTATTAAATTTGCTTACATTTAAACATATATCTTCATATCTTGATTTAAAAGAAGAAATATCTTTATCTAAACTATTAATACGAATATTTAAATCAATACATTCTGATTTTAAATAAACATTCTCATTAGATAAACATTTATTTTCTTTAAGCAAAGAATAATTTTCTTCTTTCAATTCAATTACTTGAGAAATTTCTTCAAGTAATCTTTTATTCTCACCTTTAAGAAAATTATGTGATGTTTTTAATCTTACAAAAGTTTTATATAATTCATTAAAAGCATCTAAAAGTTTTTCATTTTCACTTACTTCATCTTGTGCCATGAAACACATGTGAGCACTTTTCTTTTCTTAAATTTCTTCATCTGAGGATGACTCATCACTATCATCCCAAGTGACTGCCATTGCTTTCCTTTTCTTGTTATTTTGAATGTTGTTGAAGTTGTTGAAATAACTTGATTTTTGCTTATTCTTCAACATTGGACAATCTTTCTTCATATGCCCTGGTTTATTACACTTAAAACAAAGAGGGTTATTTGAAATTAAACTCTTAGATTTAAAATTACCTCGTTTTATGAATTTTCGAAATTTTCGTGCAAACATGTCCATTTCTTCATCATCATCATCTGAATCTTCTTTATCGGAAGTAGTATTGAATGCAAGAACTTTCTTGTTCTTAGATTCTTCATCATTCTTCCTATCTTCAAGTTGTACTTCATATGCCATAAGATTACCAATAAGATTTTCAACCGTAAGAGTTGACAAATCATTGGCTTCTTCAATTGCGGTAACTTTCTTTTCCCATTGTGGAGTAAGTGAACGAAGTATCTTTCTTACCATCTCCACTTGAGTATATGTTTTTCCAAGACCAATAAGAGAATTTGTGATGTCGGTGAATCTTGTGAACATTTCTCCAATAGTCTCATTTTCCTTCATCTTGAATAATTCAAATCTGTGCACAAGAACAGAAATTTTAGATTCTTTAATTTTATTTGTACCTTCAAGAGTTACCTCGAGTGTGTGCCAAATATCATATGCGGATGTGGCCGTTGACACCCTATTGAACTCATTCTTGTAAGTGCACAAAATAAGGCATTCATTGCTTTAGAATCCAAATTTGCATTGTTCCTTTAAGATGTAGTCCATTCCGCGAAAGGAGTGGTTGGCTTCTCATATTTTGTTTCCACGACGTTCCAAAGTTCGTAGCCAATTGATTGAAGGTAAATCTTCATTCGGCACTTCCAATAGTTGTAGTTCAAACCATCGAACATTGGAGGACGATTTGTAGAGTGACCTTCCTTGAATTGTAATGTATTTGATGATGCCATTTTTCACCTTGCTCTGATACCAAATGTAGGATCTGAAATAGATACACTTGAACACTAGAGGGGGGTGAATAGTATTCTTTTAAAATTAATGCAAATTATAAAAAAAATGGCAATCTCAGAAATTCAAAATCACAAACACAAGGATTTTATACTGGTTCCACCAATCCGGTGTACATCCAGTCCCCAAGCAAATCCCGCTTGAGAGTTTTCACTATAATTTTGAATAAACTTACAAAATCAAATGCAAACCTGAACAATTTGCAAGTCCCTGCAAATTGTAACACTAATTGACAAACACCTTGCCAATTTGAACACCAATCTCTAAACCAAGAGATTAACCCTCTCATACCCGAGAGAAAAAACTTTGTTGAAGCAAGAACACAAATGATCCTATAAGCCTTGTATGTGTAGTGAAGTGCAACAGTGGCTTAGGATTCTTTTAACCTCTGTAAATTACCTAAATGATATGTATTTGATGAATGTTTAGAGGCAATTTTAGAAACTTCTCTTTTTCACAAAATCTGAATGTTTTTCACTTGAAAAATTGCACAAAGATCAAAGCTTATGGGTATGTAAGTCTCTGCAATTTTTCTGAACAAATAACCTATTTATAGCCCTTGAAAAGACAAATTTTAAACTTTAAATACGTTTAAAAACGGCTATAAACTGTCAGATATTCAAACTTTGAAAACTGGAAAAACTGTATCTGTAGTTGACTACTGTTGACATTAGTCGACTACACTGAGTTCAAACAGACTCTGTGTTTTCGGAAAATTTTCTCAGTAGTCGACTACAATGCTCATTAGTCGACTACACTGTATTTTAACAGAAACTGATAAAATGAAATTTGAGTTCAGTAGTCGACTACTGTTGACATTAGTCGACTATACTGTAAAAACACAGAAACTTATGTTTCTGTCAAACACTTAAGTAGTCGACTATAATCACTATTAGTCGACTATACTGTAAATTGACAGAAACATGTATTTGAGTTTTATACACGAGTAGTCGACTACTATTCTAATTAGTCGACTACTAAGAGTAAAAATTATGATATAAAATATTTTTATACTTAAGTTCTATAATTCTAATGGTTAACATAGGGGATTTCTATAGTTAACCAACACACTAAGCCTGTGTTAGTATGTTCTAAAATTGTGTGTGTGCGTGTGTGTGATCAAGGCTTGTACAATTATTCTAAGTAAAGAAAATGTAAAATACATTATCTCTTTTGTTCTTTATTTTCTTCACTTCAAAATGCCTTGAAATCAACTTGCACTTGTACATATTTTGATATTGTAATCTGCATATAAAAGTTAGTGCACACACTGTATAAATTGTTATCATCAAAACACTATCATGGAGATATGATATTCAACAATTGTAACTGAAATTAAAGGAATACAAATCAATTTTTCTTTCATTTCTTTTACTGTAAATTTTTCCACGAACAAAAGATGGCGACTCTGCTGGGGACTAGCTTTTTTGACGAAGAAGTGGTGGCGTAATCCGATGTCTACCTCATGGGAACGACTGTTGAAACTCTCATCGTGGAGTTTGACCAAGCAAAATACGAGGAAGCCCTCTCCTCTGGATCGCTTAGCCCCAAGGCTAGGCGCGACGTCCGCAAGATCTCTAAGGAGATCAAACCTGTTGCTGAAACGCCAAAGCAAGTCCACTCCTTTGGCCAAAATTCGTTGAACAGCCCCTCCGCTTCTGGAGCGAGCTTAGCCTCTGCTAAACTCGTCCAGCGAGTTGAATGTCCCACATCCGCGTCAACACGATGCGCTTCAGGCCATAAACGGCCTATAGAGGATACGAGCTCCATAAACGTCAACGACGCTGTTGCTAAGGCTTTGAAACAAGCCAAAAAGAACGCTGCTCGAAGACGGAGAAGATCCATACGACGAGCACACCTGCACGAAAGCTGAACACTAGCCCAACGCGAAGATCACATTCTTGAGGCTCTGCCCGAGTGTAGTGTTTCCACTCCAGAACGCGTACTTCATGGTAATGAGCCCCATTACGAGCCTCGACTGAAACAGCTAAAACGCGACCCTTAGTGGCGCGTTATTTCTTCGAAACACAGCCCTCAGAAAGGCGCTGCCAAAGATAAACGCACACCTCACATGTGCGTTCAAATGAAACATGACCCTCAAGAGTCTGTTTCACCAACCAAACGCGACCCTCAGGGGTGCGTTCAACCAAAACAGGACCCTTAGGGGTCTGTTTCATCATTTAAATGTAGGCCTCGGCCTAATGTTTACAAATCCGAACGTGACCCTCGCATTGTTCTTCAAGAATGCGAGCCTAGCGTTGTTCTTCAAGAACGCGACCCTCAAGAGGTCCGCCAAGTTCGGAAAAGTCAACATGGGTTTAAAATCCACGTTCGACCAGAATCAATCTTACCCACTCAAGGGCAGGGGGTTCCATCTCCGTCCCCACGCTAAGGGAAAGATTCCTCCCAAGTTACTGATTTGCGGGAATTATTGTCAAGAGGAAAACCAGCGCAGCAAGCAGCTCACTCATGCCAATGTGAGCGGCTTATCTCTGCAGTCCTGTCAGAATGCCATTGTTGCGCATCTGTACCTCGGCAGTCCGTGTTCAACAGGTTGACGAATCTCGTTAGACCTGCCAAACGACGACGTCGATACAAAAAGAAGATAGCCAAAACTGAATATCCCGAAGTCACTATAAATGTGATAGGTAGAGGGAAAGCTTCAGATCCCAGTTCTGAGGGGTCACAAAGGAGTCATTCCCTGACTGTTCGGGAAATTTGTGACGAGTTCGAAGGAGTGTACCATCATACTCGGACTCAAATAGGAACCATTCGCTTGGTTAACTACCAAAGATTGGCCAAAGGGATCGTTTCTAATGATGAACATTCGGCAATTGCCGAATCTCAATCTTCATGCTCTATTGTGGCACGAGAGGTTTCTGCTTACATGGCAGGAAACCCTGAAGACCTAGCTAAAAGAGTAGATGAACATCATGTCATGCTCCACGCGCAACAGGAGACCCTCCTTCAGATGAAGGATATGTTGGCCCAGCTCATTGCTGAAAAAGGCCAAAGACCCGAGTCTTCCCGGAGGACTATGTCGAAGGAAAAGCAAAAAGCAACCGAACATTCGGATCATGAGACTCATAACTTGGAATCCTCCTCTGAAAACGAGATGGAGATAGAAAGAGAATTGCATCCTCAGTCCGCTAAAGTGGACGAACTCGAGGCTCGCCTCAATGCAATCGCCAACAGAAGTGAGCTCCGCGAAGAAGGAGTGGTACGGCCTTATCCTGCTGAGTGGGACACAGCTCCCTACCCACCGAATTTTAAGGCCCCTACCTAGCAACCGTTCGATGGCACAGGATCGCCGAATCAGCATATCTACTACTTCAAGTCATAGACAGGAGACGTGGTAGCAAACGACACCATCCTGACCCGCTTGTTCATCAGCACTCTTAAAGGAGTCGCCTTCGAATGGTTTATGAAACTGCCTGCTGGATCTATTCAGAAATGGGTGGATTTGGAAAGGCTTTTTTTTTGCCAGATTCTTCGAGGACGATACAGAAGTTTCGGTCCCCACTCTTCTCGCCACCAAGTAGAGGAAAGGAGAATCTATCAAGACATATGTGGAGAGATTTCTGCAGCATGGCATTGCGATGCCCTTTAGGTATGACCCAATCAACTTTGGTTGAAACTTGCAGACACAACTTGCAGACCTAGCTCCTTACTTAGATAGGGGTAGCAGAGTGTCATTCCTGGAGACAACTAGTTTCGCAAGGAGAATAAGCCGAAGAGATTGTTGCTCGAGTTAAAGCCAAAGAAGTGCTATGTCTTCAAAGACATCCTGCAAATTTTGGTTAATGCTAATGTGCTCACTTTAAAACCCGAGCAGAAGACCGTATCTACCAATATGATAGCGGTCCAATTCGGTGACTTCCCTCCGGTAGCGACTACAGATGGTGTTGTCCCCATTCGTAAATGAGAAATGCACCTGAAGAATGTTGACTTGCACAGTCAGAAAGATAGGGGGTTGGTACCCCTCACTACCCCAAAAGGGGAGATTATGTGGGTCCACCCCGACCTGCTAGGAGACCAACAGTAGACGAACACCTCGTCCAAAAAGAAGGGAGATAAGGCTAAGTCTTCCAACATGATTAGCCCCTCCGTTACTGAGAATGATGACCACCTCAAACCTCTTACCGATTCCGAAGAAGAGAGGATTACCCTGGCAGCATACCTAGGAGACAACCCTGGCACTCGGTCAGGAAAGGCTTACTTGAGAGACTACAATCAGAACGCTCAAGAAGCTGAAGAATAGCCCCAAGACGCTAGAGGTTCTGTACCAAAGAAGCTAGTCGATAAAGGAAAACAAAAGGAGCTCCGGTTCAACAAAAATCTTCACCAGGAACTCGGTGAGTCGAGTGCTCCCTTCCAATTCAATGTCATGGCGTAGCTGGCCAATATACCAACTGGGATTACTCTATATGAGCTCCTGAGGTTATCCAAAACTACTAAGGAAGCTCTAATCGAAGCCTTAAAGAACACGGAGAGCTTTATCACTCAAGTCACTCTGATTTTCGAAGCTTCTGAAGATCAAACTTGCCTGCAATATCTGCAAGCGGCGAGAAGTTTACCCTGCATATCATTCACTCAGGAAGACATGTAGGTCAAACACAAGCACGACAGACCGCTATACTATACGGTGTATATCGGATCCTCCGAAATCAGCCGTGTCCAAGTAGACCCAGGCTCTGCGCTCAACATCATGCCCTATAGAGTCATGCAGGTGTTAGGAATTCCTATGCACCAATTGAACACCACCCAGACTACTATCTTTGGGTTCAACGCTAACAACACTCGGCCCCTAGGGAAGATCAAACTCAGGTGTTAAATCGGAGACCTTTAAGTCCGTAGTGACTTGTTACATCATAGATGCGGACACGTCCTACAATCTTTTGCTAGGATGACCATGGATACATGCAAACCGCATTGTCCCATCTACCCTGCATCAGGTCATGAAGTATGCCAACGATGAGGGAGAAGTTCGAACCCTAATTGCAAAAAAATACCCTTTCCGTGGAGTGGATAACTTTCACACCGACTCCGTCTTCTACCTGGAATCCCAGGAGAAAGAAGATGTGGACAGCGACAATGAAGCCGACATTGAACCGGATCTTGAAGAAGATTGTCCATGGGAATTGAATCTAAATGTAATGGGTCAGGACGAGAGCAATAATAATGTACCGAGTGAGGGCGAGTGGTGCATTAATAAAGATTTTATTTTGGCGTACTTGTGCGAGTGGTGCATTAATAAAGATTTTATTTTGGCGTACTTGTCTGATGTGTCCTCTAAAAATAAACAAATAGAGAATGATCCTAATGCAGGTACCAACCCATGGCACGTACTATACACAGAGGCATCACTCACATTGCCAATCGAGTCATCCTTCGCTTCAGATGAAGGAGTAGAAGACGCACAGAAGGTTTTCTTCAAAGTCCTATCCAAAAGGAAAGGGCAGAAGCCGATCTGTTTTGGTAAAGTCAAACCCGAACAATTCAAATGAGGAAGTTCAGAGGAAGATGATGGAGTCCCCAAATTCCATTACCACAAACCCAATTCTATACACTTAATGAAACGAATGTGGTATAACTTTAATAAAAAATATGGTTTAAACTTCGGGAAAGGAAGGCGAACACCAATTCGAATGTCTCTAACCCCCAAAGGAAAACCTCCGGACTACTATCAAAAAACCGGAAGAGGTGTGGGCTACGTCACAACCCGATCAACCTCAAAAAATGAAATTAGTAATTATCTGCGTCAGGACCATTTATCCGGGACATCTTCTTGGGAATCCGACGTCAGTGTAAGACCTTTCTTTAAAAGTCTGACTGTGAATGGTTTTAGCTAGTCATCTAGATGAAGACGCAGGGGATGATGAAGAGCTAATCGAATCAACCAATGATCCTTGGATCAAACGCCTCAACATCTTGTGGGATATGCGATTCGAACAACGCAAACTGCCCACTGAAGATAAAGTGATTCAAGTCAACATGGGAGATGAACATGACCCTAAGCCCATTTTCATAGCAAAAAATTTATCATCATCCGAGAAAGAAGACCTTATATCTCTTATCCGAGAATATATAGATGTCTTTGCTTGGAACTATGAAGACATGCCTGGCCTTGACCCAAAAGTTACCATGCATCGGCTTAACATCGATCTAGATGCAAAACCCGTTAACTAACAACAACGCCGGTTTTGTCCAGAGATCATGGAAGCAATTGAGTCCGAAGTTAAAAATCTTATGGACTCGAGTTTTGTCAGAGAGGAACAACACCTGGATTGGGTAGCCAACATTGTTCCCGTTCCCAAGAAGAACGGTAAGGTCTGAATATGCTTCGATTTTCGCGACCTTAATGCAGCTTGTCCGAAAGATGAATTCCCGCTTCCTATCACGGATGTTATGATTGATAACACCTGAAGATATGAAAGAATGTCTTTCATGGATGCATTCTCCGGGTACAGTCAGATCAAGATGCACCCGAAAGACGAAAAATATACTGCTTTTAGAACACCACTTGGGGTGTATTGCTATACAGTGATGCCCTTCGGCTTGAAAAACGCAGGTACAACTTATCAATGTACAATGAATGCTATCTTTCACGAACACCTACGTAAGAAGATCAAGTGCTACGTTGACGATATAGCAGTAAAGAGCCAATATAAAGGCGATCATCTTACAGACTTGAAAACAATGTTCGACATCATGCGAGCACATCAACTGAAGATGAACCTAACAAAATCTTTCCTTGGGGTATCAAACGAAAATTCTTAGGATTTATCGTCACATCCAAGGGAATCTCTCTTGACCTAGAAAAAGTGCGTGCTATCCAAGACATGCCACCTCCGAAGA